AGCGTCGCAAACCCGTGAAGTGAAGAAGATCAACCACGAAGAGCCACCACCAAAGTTTTTACTCATCCAAGGGTCATCAAAGTAGTAGTTGGCGGAGTAAAAGACTAGAAGCGCCAAAGTAGACGCGAAAACTCCGAAGGAGGAAGCTTGTTGCAAAAACTTGGTTCCGGCGCGATATCCCCGAGACTGCTTGATGCTGCAAAATGCACGCAACAAAACGTTTTTCACTTCATTGCAGCTGTGCCGGACCCCAGGAAGGTCCAAAATATAGTTGATGGCCTGAGATGTGCAAAGCTGACAGTAGCACTTGTGGATGCAGTCAGACGGGCCTGCGGAACTAACCTGCTGTCATCGTCCGTGAGGGTCTGGAATGCCATAGTGGTGAGATTCCCGAGGATAAACAGGCCTGTGGCAAGCTGAGCTGCCCATAACGGAGACTTGCCTGAGTGCATAAAGCATATTGGAGTATCACTCCTCCTACCTGGGCGTAGGCGTGTTCTGCAAGAACCGCGTTGCGTTGAACAGGCAGCACTCGTCCCCGACAACTTTGTTTATGCCTGAGGTGCACTGCCATGGAATATGCTTGACAGGTAGTTGAAACTGAGTGAATGTGCCTGTTTGTGTTTGCAGGAGCAGTGTGTGGACTCCACCATGGAGTTTTCTAAATGCAATGGTGCGTGCGTTGTGGAACAAAGCTGGAATGAAGATCTCAGCCGACATACCGACAGACTCAGGATTACACCTCAGGAAACGAAGAAGCGAAAGGGGATCTTTGCCTCCTGATGCAGTGGTTGCCAAAAGGGTGACATATGCAGCCAGCTGGATTAGAAGGCCTAGCCGGAGATTGTAGTTGACACAGAACGACCAAAACGGCTCGAATTGGGGTCCTCGACCTTCTGGAGCCTCCCCCGGACGCACAACGTAACACTTTAACATTTTGTTGACGAATTAGACCAGTATACAACAATATCGATGCCTCACGAAGGAACTTTTTTGACCTTTCGGCCCTTCAAAAGAGGAGTGCCAACAGAGGATGGATGCTCACACGGCGTAGAGAAACTGCAACTGCCCCCAAATGCTGAGTTTTATTTAGTTTTGCATGCGCAAAAGACTTATTAAAATCGCGGGTGTCCTCTCTTGATCCGAGCATCAGAACACAACGGGACAATGCGTTGCCGACGTCGCTCAGACTGGTGGCCCCTGACCGCTGGCGTGCCCAAGCAGCTGTTGCGGCTGAACAACTGTCTAACTGGCTGAAAGCACTTGTGTGGGAGAGTTTTGTAATAAAAATCTTTAAACAGTTCTCCTATATTAATCTTGTGGGTGAATTTCTAGTGCTGCGGAGGTCGAGGTCACCGCTCTCCCCACCGGCTTTGTCCAATCGAGGTAGCCGGGATAGTGAAGTGTTTTGTGCCCCTTTCAAAAGAAACCGAAAAGCCTCAACTGTCCGGGATAAAATACGTACAATGTGTTGTATGGAAGGACTTTCGTGGTGAAGTGATAATGGCGAGACTTGAAAAGTGTGCCCTCATCATTCACGCCGCAACAATCTTCTGAAAGAAGCAGCGCACTGAACCGGAAGGCTTCTCCTGAGGGAGGCAAGGCCTCCAAAATACCTTATATGCTAGCTGGAAGCGTCGTGATGAGGGCAGCAGGAATTCTTGCCTAAATATCCATAACTAGGATGTAGCCAAGTTTCTTTCTTGAACAGGAAGGTTGTCTCCTCTTACCCACGCTCTCAATTTAGCTCAAAGGGAATATCACTTTGAGGCCACAACATAGCATTGCGGAGTCAGTAAACCCTCTGTACCGTTTACTCCCGTTGCATGAGACTGACATCATCATAGCGCCGACTGCGTTAACCAAGAACTAGAATCATATATGTAAGCACAGCGGAAGCATTGGAAACGTGTATTCTCACAAACACTGGTTCCGCAGATCATAATTCGTTTACAGCTTTGCAAAGAGTTATTGGGAATAGCCCATGAGGTATTCCTAGAAAGACAGTCCCTGGTTCTAGGTTAATGCGCACATTAAAACCCATTCGTTTGCATTCTGTGGGTTCAACGAGTGATTCACAGTGGTTAAATATGCAGAATTCACCATGTGGTGCATGCGGAGTGTAGCTGTGCTTATCCTACGCGATATCTATTTGGGGCCGCTTTTTTCTTGCGGGTTTCTGACAGACCCTGCAGCACTACCCAGTATGAGCTCTCCAGCTAGGGCAGATTCCTGACTGTTTTCAAACCAAATTGTTCAGCGTAGACGAAACTCGGATACCGAGCACCTGCAATATAGAGCATCCGTGAATCTGGCGATTCCGCCGTAATAAATGGTCATGAAAAGGCGCAATTGCACGGGCCTAGAGTTTTTCGGTTCTTCAGGTTCGTCATTCAGCAGTGCATCTGTTGAAGCACAACACAACGACAAAGAAGGTGAAAAATATCCTCATCAGGAAATGCGTGTTTGGCTAGGTCAGTTTCGCTCCTGCCTAGGTATACTGCATGCTGCTGAATTCGGTCTTCCCAGGCCGTTGTGCAGCGTTGCTTCTGGAATATTTGTATTGAGGTGCTTGGAAGGCTTTTCGGAGTATGCAATTTTACAGGGACGTGGGCAAGGAACTGACCAATTTTCATACCACGAAAGGTCCATTTACTTGCTTATTCTCTTGGTACAGTACTGTGAATTACCGTGGTGGAGCCCAGACCCTCGCTTAGTCAGTCCTTTGTTTGAGCAATACAGTGAATTACCGCTACGTAGTCCTTCCTGCGGCAGAGTACAACAGATTCTATAATCCTCAACGTGTTGTCTGGAGTGCCTGTATCCTTTTCTCTTTCTATTTAGTTGTCTTTAAGACTTTAGAATGCCACCTCACGAGAACACGGAACAAGGCAACACAAAGCAACGATATACTCCTCCAGCATACATGAATTGACGGCAGCTGCTAGAGATTCCCACTGCACATTATAGTTTGTGTTACTCTTCGAAAGCAGCTGCGTTTTTTTATGCCCACCATATGGTCAAACGAACTGTACGGTTAGTCCAACCCGTGTCCAGTTTTCTGAAGCTAGCTGTGCCAATGCTCGCTTTGTACCGTAAGCTACGTACTCCTTGTTCATACAGTTCAGCAGGTGGCAAATTGGCCACATCAATATAGTTGATGCTACTTATCGAGTGTTCTCACATGTGCGGCGGGGATTAAAGCGAGACAGCTGAAGCGGTCACCGTTTGGGTTGAGGCAGCTGACATTTGACAGGGAACAATCAGACCATCCGCAAGAAGGAAATTACTGGATTTAACGTAAATATGTTATAGGAGAATCACGCAAAAAAAACCAGCTTAACAAGCCCCTCGAGTGTGTTCTGCTTAAGAGGTGAGCATGGTGGGTCATGGGGAGCCTGGAGGCCTGCGCAAGGGGCAACGGCCACCGCATTGTGTATATTTAACACGGAGGATCTGGCCGATCCATTACTGACAGATTTAAATTGTTTTTTTGAAAGGTGGGATCGTAGGCGTTGCCTGCATCTGTTCCGTTAGCTGGCGTGCCTCGTCAGTGTGCCACATCACAGTCTAACGTGCAAAGCACGGCAGCACAGCATACCTCCCACATTGAAGGTTAGGACCTCGATCTGAGGTGCAATTGCTTTTGAAGGGAAGCTAATTTCACTCGTGCCGCTGCTTTCTTCGACTTCGCTGAGTGCCGAATGCCCGTTTGGCAGGCGTTTCTCAAACGAAGGTCACCTGCGCAAACTGAAAATGTTTGGAGACGTAGCGCAGCCGGAAGAGTACCAGACAGTGGAGTTCACTGTCTACAAAAGTGCAAAAGTCATGAGCCCTCCAGACATGCCAGATTATATGCTTGACTACACGATAGCCAAAGCGTGAGCCGCCGCCCTGCGTTGCTGTGACACCGTAGAAATGCCATCGTGAGTTGAATTTAGCATTTCCCCTCTTGCTTCGACACTCCTTGGAGTTTTTGATATATACACAAAAGTATGCTAGATGCAGACCAGACGAAGCCATCCCCGGCCAGCTGCTGTACAACTGCCTCCACGTGGGTCACACAGGCAAGAGCTTTTGGAGAGTGACAACGGCTCGAATGCGCAAGAGGTTGCTACGGCACTAAAGAGGGATCTGGACGAGAAGTGGCAACCATGCTGGTACGCCATATGATAGATCCACTCCAACTACCGTCGCTCGAGAACGTGCCGCCCGATGAGCACAGGCTTCTGCAGCAAGTATAACAAACTCCGCTCATCCCTGTTGCTTATGTTCTTCACATTGTTCTTCGCAAAAAGCCTTCACAATATTACAGAGCTGTTCAAGCACATTTCTTTATTCCTACGAGGAAGCTTAACAGAAGCAGCGGTCCCCCAGCACTGAACTCTTCCTGCAGTATCCATGCAGTGATAGGACGTTTCAACTAGATGGCAAACAACATGTCCTCAACTATACACTCGTTCACAAGTGCGTAGTGACAGTCGAAGCACTCGCCGGCAACACGTAGGCCACTACCACTGGACACTTGCGATGCTCCTCTGGTTCACTTCAGGCACGTGACAGTCGGACAGAACTTCGCGAGCTACGTCGTCCACCAGAAGCGGCGATTTGTCTACTTTACGATCGGAAAGATGTCATTTCTTGTGTACAAAGCACAGTAAATACCCTGGCACATGCAAGACGAAACACTGTCAACTTGTACTCCAAGCTTGGGGCAAACAGACCTTTCCCTCGGCTTTCTACTGCGCTGTTACCAGGGGAGCTGCATATGCCACTAATGCCAAAATTCCGAACGCCCCATACCGCCTGGCACTAATAGTGTATTTCCCGTGCAAATAGGTGAGAGGGGGTCTGCTTCTCCTCAGCCAATGGCGCTTCGACGATGGGTTTGGCAAAAACCATCAGATGACTAGCAAAGTAACCCTTTAAAGGGAGCACATGGCCTATAGTTTATGTGCACCGAGCGATTTTCCGTTGTACGGGGTGTGAAAAAAGTTCATGGCTGTTCATATAGGTTAAACAAAAGAGTTGGCATGATCGCAGCATGCATAGGCATGTGGCGATCATGCCAACTGAACTGCAAGAATGGGGTCAGAGCTCCTGCTCTAGCAGCAGCTGCGTGGCCTTCAGGTGATCTCCCTGGGCTTGTTGCAGAGCAGCTTCGGCCTCGGCAGCAGGAAGCAGCAGAAGATCCTGCAGCTTCTGGACCGCTGCAGCAGAGACCGCGCATTTCCGTGCACCTATTGCTGCTTTTATCTCTCCTTGTTCCAGGGACGTCATCAATGCGGCTTGTCTCTGACAAAAAGGCAAATAAAAAACACGGCAATTCTATTCCACTTAGAAATTACTGAAAAAACGAATACTACTGACTAAACAAAGCTTGCTCAATGAGAAAGGCGGAGCTGGTGGGCCGTCTGTCCATGGCGAAGTGCCCATACCACGCCGTCTCTACCTCATTGACTCTGTCTGTACCCCGGACCCAATGAAGTGTGCTAAAAAATGCAGTTAGGGCTACTCCCTCTCCCCACACGCAATTCTGTAAATGCAGACAACCGTACAAAATAACGAGGTGATGGGGAGTTTGGTGCCTATGGTGAGTAAGGGTTGAGGTACCTTTTCGTCCATTTCAGAGTCGGGAACATCTTGTTGATCTAAAGTGGCAAGTTCCTTCTGCTGTTCCTTCTGAAGGCGATCTCCCGGCTGCTGCGAAGTCTCAGCTGGCGGGGTCTCCTCCGAGTCCTCCTTGTGCGGGGCCATCTTCCGAATCGAAACAGGGCTCAAGGAGTCACTCTAACAACCAGTTGGGATTAATTTGTGCGACAGAGCGGCTAAAAAGAGAAACGAATGCCGCACGGCCAAGGCACACTTCCTGTGGCTCCGCTGGGGCCCTCTGAGCCCTACCTAGGCCGAAGCTATCGAAGCCTTCCGGTTAATACACCAGCTCTTCCAGGAATAATGCAGAGCAAATGAGGTAAGACTTAATAGGTACACAGTCACTGCTCACGTAGATGGGAGCTAAAGCCAGTTCAAAAGTAGCCGCTGCAGATGCACACAGGCAGCGTGGAGGAGGTTTTCTACTGAAAGCCGAAGCCAATAATCAAAGTGGAGGCTGAGTACCACCCGTGAGTCACAGATAAGGCTTCTCCGACTAATTTGGCTTAAAGGGCATACTTGATTTCCTATGGCATTCCTCTTCTGCAAATGGCATGCAAGGAATGGGACGAAGCCGAAGGATGGCGCACATCCAAAAGTGGGCGTGAAGGGGGAAGCTCGGTTGACAATACCATCCAAGTGTTACTCAAGAGCTCCAAAAAAACCAAAGTTATGCGAAACATGCAGAGACAGCATGCGCAAATTACGAGAGAATCGCCGCAACCATCTCACTGCATGCACCATTGGGGCCCACCTCCACGAAATTGACCTAAAACCTTCCATCCCACCACAAAGGGGAACGGCCAAGCTACACATTTATTTTTCCTTCTTAATGACTGCGAACTCCCAACCGCCTCTTTTGAAGGCACATTCACTATCAAGCTCTTGAGATCACTAGAATAGCTGGGTGCCTATCTACACGTACAGTCCTGCAACACTTTGCCGTTGCATAGTCTGTGTTGAATTGTACTACTACTAATTTATCAGAGGCTGGTAATTAATGACCAAGTAAGTGTTCACCAGCGATCAGACTGTTAGTCCGTGTAGCAGAAAGGGGCTTCGTTGTAGGTGTATGTGGGGTTGTCTTGCAGCACATTGAACGATGGTCGTCATCCTAGAACTCTTGCTGCAGTGGAGGCCAATAAGCGTTCCTTCAAAACAGCTGACCTCCATCCCCAGTCCCGAGGTGTCCCTAGCTCAACTGGTGGGGGCGATGTGGGATCGTCCGGCAGTGAATATTGCAACGCAACTCCCTGCAACTCAAGGTACTTGACAACCCGCATGCAACCACTAACAAAGCTACATGGCTGTATGCACCAACAATGCAAACCCTTTGTAGGAATTGCATGCAAATTGTCTACTAATGCCGAGTAAGGGTTCATCTGCCCAGACATACTAGCCACCGTCCGGGAGAATATGCTTCAGCACCAGTTGGGATCGCTGTTGGTAGGAAGACCACGGATAAACAGGACTATAATGTTATGCTCTGCCTTTATACACAGTGCTGGGTGGGCTAGCCCTCGTTAGAGATGACGCAGAATCGGTAGCCCACGACAATCCAGGGTTATGCAAATTTCCCCCATACAACGCACAACGCAATGATTGTCTTTCATTGACTGTGCGCCTGCAAGAACCCCCTGACAAACTGGAAGGAGGCGACAGTGAATAGCGCAAAGCTACTTCACAGATAGCGCATTACTGCGCTCAGTGCCTTTTTTCTACGGAATTTCTAGAATGTGTTATGGCGATTAGAACCACGCATCACTTCGGCGTGTCTGCTCAACTTCGGAATACCGAACTGCGGGGTACCATACGGCCAATCCACGAGTGCCCTAATGCTCATGAGGAAGAAGTGTATTTAATTAGACAACTGTATAAGATAATTAGGCGCAGACTTAACTTGAACCGCCAGTGTCATATGGACCAAAAGTGTGCGCGGGTCTGCCGCAAGCTGGGATAAAGGTGCCGGTCCCTACCTCAGGAAAACCTGAGGGTATCAGCGACAAACTTAGTTCCCTTTCAAGTTTACGCTAAAATTGCACATGATAAGCAACCGCCGTAGAGCCACGCGCTAAGCGCGTTCGCCTCACTCAGGCCAGCTGAAGGTATCGCGCCACCACCTGATATCAGAATAACCCAGTGGGGCAGCTCCCATATAACCACAGACAGAGGATTCCTCCTATTCAAAGACTGAAGGCCAGCGGGTTGAGGGTCGCTCCTGCTGCCTCAGGGTATATTTCTGTATGTCTCTTCTCACTTCCTACGAGGCCCCAACCTCCTTTAAGAATTCGTCGAAGGCCTGATAAGCGCAACAAATGAAAGGAGTGCTAACACGTGCTGTCAGCAACGAGGGAAACTGAAGTGCAACAACGATCATCCGCACAAACGATGCCGCAGTGGCTTGTACAGCGGCAGTACCAGGAGCAAGGGTAATAGCCGCATCACTACGGCATCCCCTGTGGGCGGCCGTGGGACTGTCTTCGTTATTTACCCTGTCTAGATCTGCAGGCGCAGGCGTTTTCGAAGAACCACCGACTACTCCGCCATCTCCATGTTGCTTCTTGGCTTCGCCCAAAAATTTCGCCAGTCCAGAAACCTGCCCTCTCTCCCCAGAGGCCCCCCCGACGCCCCCTTGCCGCCCCAGTGCTGTGTTTCCCATGGAGTACGCAGACACGCGGGAAATTGATGGGCCTTCATTTGTCTTTGCCGTCGCCGGCAGCTTCTTGGTCCTGTGCACACAGCATACAAATGCAACTGTCAACAACAGCCGTTCCAAGAGAAATTGAATCCTAATGGCGGCTACAAACTCAACCCCAGCTGTTTACGCAGCCGACGCAGCGTGAAAGAAACATCAACCCGCTCTTGCCCTCACCTCAAGTGGGTGGGCACAAACGTCATTGCCGCCTTCAAGTCAGAACCGCCCGCCGGCTTGTCGGCCTGCTGCTTCTTCGCTGGCACAGGCGGTGTTTGATGCTGCGGCGGCCTCTTCTGCACGTTGGTGGGCCCCGCAGCACCCGAGGCCTGCTGCGGGGGAAGGGGGCCCTGCTGCGGATTCGATGACACGCGCTGCTGGTCAGGCTGCTGCTGCTGCATCTGCTGCATGTGTGCAACGAGTTGAGATGGGGGTGCAGGGATGCCATAGAACGGCGGCTGCGGAAACGCAGAGACGCACCAGACTGCCAGCACTAAAACCCGTCAGCAATGCAGCACCTGCAGCAACAATGTCTGAGAGCCGAGCACGGAGCCAGTGAGCTGCAGCGCAAACCGCTAAAAAACAGACCATCCCCGCGTCGTCTGCCTCAGCTCACCACAAAACCTGGAGGAAAGAAACCCGGGGTTCCATGAGGTGCCTGTATTTTTGTATACGCACAGAACACAACACAGGGCAGTCAGCCACCCACAGATCCTAAGACCGCCCCGTCAATTCGCTAGGGGTTCAGCAATTGATTATTTTGCTGAAGGCATTCGACCCTCTTGAAAACATGCAACGGCAAGCTGCAAGGGAGCCGAAACCACCACCTTCAAGCGACACCTAACCACTCACCCCTTGAAGAGGTCCCGCAGCAGGGGCCTGAGACGTCCCGCCGTAACCTGCCAAGGGAGGAGCGGGAAACGGCAGCGGCACCAACGGCATCGAGGGAGGAGCCGGCATCGCCTGCTTCGTTTGCTGTTGTGCTGCTGCCCTGCTCAAACAACAGAAGAGGAAGCAACACGAGGGACAGCTGCGGGAAACACGAACTACCCCGTCAAGAATAAGGAAAATAGCAGCGGTAGGGCCACCACAAATGGCGGATTTCGCAAGAGGCAGTTTAAAGCACCGCATAAACACATCGAATCTCTAGTGACTTCACAGCACAACAGCGCGAGCACCAGCAGAAGCAAAGCCCACGTTGGAACTGGAGATGAGCAGGCAGCTGATGGAGGCGGCGGCTCTGCTGGGAGCGGAATTGAGGCCAGAAAATCTTCGGTCGCCTCCCCAGATGGTGCTGTGTCTGCACCTGGCGTCTTCTTGCTGCTACTGCTGCTGCTGTTGGTTCCAGCGGTCGGCTCATCTTCGCTTTCCGAATCGCTGCTCATATCAGAGTGTCTTGACGGTCCCCGCCTATCCCGCATGCGCCGTTGTTGGGTCTCGACAACTGCACGCCAACATCTCTCGGCCTAGAAACCCGACACTAGACCTCAACACGGCAGCGAACCATATACAAAATCCACAGAAAGGCGAAGCAGAAAAGTAACACAACTACCCCCGCGCAAACCCCGCGCAACCGACGTAACCCATGAGGACTGGGGAGGGGGCAGGCATTGCACAGATTCAGCTAAGCATACTAGAGCCACTGAAACCTCCGCATGTATATCTCCAAACAGTATCTATATCCATATACCCCCAATGCAATGAAACGAGCCTCACAGCGTCTTCTCTGCTCCGACTTGTCGTTAGCCACAGCGGGCGGGTACGGCCGTATGGAACCGTCGGGATCTGCAGCACAGGAAACCGGACGGGAATTGAGTGCCGCAAGAATGCATGCGCTCCTGCGTGAAGCTTTGAAGCAGAAGGCGGCACCGGTGACAGAGACGGGGTCAGGGAGGAGGCTTACGGCGAAAGATGCCTGTGTTGCAAAGCTCTGGGCAGTAGTAACGCCTCTCCTCGTCCTCAGGGATGCGTTCCCCATGGGAAAGCCGCTGCTGCAGACACCGCCCGTTCGGGAGGGTGCTGCTGCTGCTACTACGGGGGTCCACCGAAGCAACAGAAGACACGTCTGCCGTCCTCACACGTCTCTCCGCCTCCACAGAACTCACAACTTGAGCCCATAGTTGCTGCAATTTCTGCAAACGCCGAGTCCGACCTTCCGTCATAGGTTGCCCAGACCTCGCTAAACAACAGCACACAGACTGCCCCTGCTATACATCCGTAGAGCACTGAAACAAATCCGCCCCCCCCC